ATCTAAATACGATTTAAAAATCCTTTGGCTAGTGACAATCTTGTATAAAATTGTTAAGGGTTTCAAAATTTCTAAAAGCTTTTGAAACAATAACTTCGATAGATAGCTTACTAGCATGTTATTACCTAATGATAATCCTGATTAAGTATTTTTTATTATTTTTAACTTTATTCCTACCAGTCTAGATATTTAATTTAGAACTGTTGTACTACTTTTTAGCCTAAATCACTTTTCTTAAAAACTTCATATAAACAAGTTTTTTTATTATCTTAAACTTTCCTTCCATTTATCTAAGTTTTTTTTTCTCAAGTATTTTATCTCTTGTTCATTTAATTTTTATAAGAGTTCTCTTTTATATTAAAAGTTATAAAATGTTTGACACACTATTGATCTATTAGTAAAGTATGTTCTTATTAGAAAGGTTTTAGGGTGTATTAATATTTTAATTTATAAGTAATCTAATATAAATGGTTTTTTAAAAAATGTTATTTTCTATCTTTCCCAGTAGAGTTGTATCATTCTCATAAATGTGACACATAGTTGTGCTGTATTTGGAAACCATTAAGAAACTTCAAGTATTTATTATCTTTCACTAATCGAACTTCTGGTTTACTATCAGGAAAATAGTGATAAAACACTATGTAACATAAATACACTTGAATAACTTATAAATTTAATTAACAATATTTCTATGTTTAGTATTATATTGTATCATAGTGTTCCAGGTATCAGTCTTGCTAAAACTATAATAAATTTTTCATGATTTGTCATTACAAAGTATTATTTCTACATTGGCCTTGAAGGTTGTTTATGTATGATATAAGAACCAAAACCTCTTAGTACACAAGAAGAAAGGTAAACAAGAAACACAAGCTACTTACTTAAGGTTCTTTATAAATACACAACTAAAGCAAAACATTTCATGCACCATATAACTATAGCTCAAATCTTACTTTTTGAAGTATTGAATATTTAATCAATCTAATAATATTTTTATAATAGATATTTCTTCTTTGACCAGTAATGATAGAGAAATTACATTCCATCTCTTGTGTTGCAAAAAACTATAATGCATTTCTTAGATTCTGTCAATTTATATTTTCTCAATGTCTAGAACCATTCTCTTGTTGCCTGATTATGAGTTATAATATAAATCTGGTAGCAATCTAGATAGATTTACTTATATATGTTTTTAAATACAAAACCAGATATATAATACAAATTCTATTATTCTTTAGTAAGTTATGAATGTTAGAGGCATCATTAGAGTTCAGATAAAAAGAATGAGAGTTCCAAAATACTCATATTAACAAAAATGGGTTCTTTTTTTTTCTCTGATTTGGTGATGTAAAAAGTGCTTAGTTCTTGATTTGACAGTTGATTCTATTTTTTAGATTCCCAATTTGATAAAACATGTAACGTTAATAGCTATACAAATCCTTGAGGTCTTCTTTGAAATGAGAAACCGTCTTTATAATTCTGATTTAAAATGGATCTTGTATTCTACTAGCAAACATTTCCAGTCAAAAATTTCCCACTAATTTATCTAGTGAAAATGTAATTTTAGAATTATCTAGTCATCTATTTATTAAATATTATATACCTGGATTATAACTGAAGCAACAATCTCAATCATGAGTGTGAACTCTTTCATCTGTGGCAATGCCAAGGATCCCAGCTTTTTCTTGGAACTTTTCCCTGTACCAATTCTCTTGGAGCAATCACACTAGGGGCCCATGATGTGGAGGTGCTGCTTGTGGACCATCACTCTCCAAGTCTTGCTCCTTTTGATCACCACAACAATTTCTAGAAAACTTATTCTGCTGTTGGTGCTGCTGATTCCCCAGGTGATTGTGTAGTGGATTTAAGTTGTCCACCATTTACTAAAATAGTGTTATGATATCAAATAATTGAAAATGTGTGTATAATTTATTTATATTAAAATAAAAAATTGATATAAAATATTTCTTACCAAATATTATTTTCTACCTTTTCCAGAAAAGCTGGATTCTCTGCAACATTGACAATTTAGGATAGACGTGAATGGAAGGCAAAGATGACATCTTCCTGATATTTGGATTTGCATCGAATATTATGATGGAAAATGAGGTTTGCAACATGCCCACCTTTCAAATTGTATGAAGTTGTTTCTTGGTGTGGTCCTTATGTAACATGGTTATGAATGGAGAATGCCATCTCAAAGGATAAAGAGAGCCAATCTTGTAAAATTCAATTTGAGATAGCTAAACATTATAAGCAAGGATGAAGCAATAGCTTACTTCCAACAAAGCCCTCTCCAACTTTGACCGCTCCTGGGATTGGCCAGAGACCATGGTATTCTATTCAAGCATCAGTAAGTTATCAGTTTTATAGTTGTTCATGTAAATTTTGTTAGCATCATTTACCACCAGCTTGTAACATAATTACTTATTTTGCTTATTGCTGATTTACATCTTTGTCTCTGTGGTGTCCCCAGAGAGCAGCCACTTAGTAGGACTTAAAGAGCTGCATTGAAGGTAAAATGTTGTCATACAGGATCATTCTCAACTGCTGCTGCTCATTGGTTGTGATAAATCTTGAGAAATACAACATAAAGAGAACACCACCTTGTTCAGGTAGTAATAATATCGGCTCTATGTCAGTAAGGAGTGAAAGCCAAGGAGTCGGTTAACAGTGACAAAGAGTGGAAACAATACTGGACCAAGGAAGTGGCATAGTGGAAGAGAGGCACGAACAAATGCTTGACACTTTTGCAATGGGACAGATGCTCAAGCTAGTCTCCAGTGTTGCTAGCTTCTACAGACTAGAACATCTCATTTGCTGCTCTTCTTGGACGAACTAAAAAGAAGAATGAAGCAGCTCATGGCACCCTTGGAGAAGAAAACAAAGGAGCTTACATTTAAGGGGGAAAGGCAGTAAAAGTTTAAGTTTTTCAAAATCCCTGATGTAGGCATGAGTTTATTCCACTGGGAAAAATTGCATATCACATCATGCTATTAAAAAGAAAATCCATTTCTCATTTTGAAGTTTCACTGTCTCAAATATAACTGTCTCAATAAGAAATATTAGACTCTTTTTAACTTCAACAATTCAAGTATGAGCATGTAATTAAAAGTGACCTTTGGAGGTTACCTTTGTACCCACCCTATAGAAACTGGTGTAAGGATGTTTCCAGTTAGTTACAACAATGTTACAAGCTCTCACCAATCATCAATTGTGAGGTATAAAATGGATATTCATTTTCCCAAATTTATGGTATATGGTTTTCTAAAGATTGTATCAAATGTTGTGGCAAGGTAAGTTGCAAGTTTATAAAGTTTGATATAACATTCAGAAATTGATCTTTTAGAAATTATACTTGTGTAGTGGTTGAAGCATTTTATATAAAGAGAACAATAGCAAGTTGCATAATCTACAGATCCACTGATGCCTCATGATATTCTTCCAGATCCCCATTGAGTTAGAACCTTAACTTAGAACCTTAACTACTGGGGATGATTACATGTATGGCTATGATGTAGTTATAATACTAATTAGCTTAGTGGAATTTTGAAAGCTATCATATTTGATTCAATCTGGTTCATTTGCCTCAGCAGGGTTTTTAGGATTTGATTCAATCTGGTCCATTTGCTCCTATATATAAGCAACATGCAAATTTCTGTATTTCAATCACTCACAAAAGAATCGAAGCTATTTGTTTTGAAATTCAATAATTCTAGATTACTATCTAAATTCCTTCCTCTAGCAACATAATCTTGGTTATGCTGCTATGTGATCGATGCCACAGGGCTAGTGGGGATGCACAGCAGCACCTCTGGGATGAAGGCTGGCGCCTCCAGGCCGTGGCACACCAGGCCATTGCTTGGGACCAAGACGCTCTCAATTTGCCATCAAGGTGTGTGTAGATGTGCACACTCAAAAGGTGATCCTGGTTTCTTTCTCTCAAATCCTAGCAGTAACATCCACCCAACAGCAACTCTGATGTGCATTTTTCTTCTGGGACAGCGATAGAGCAAGCAACAGCATTATTCATTATTGGCAGAAAAGAACCTATCTAGTCACTCATGTAGAACATTGAGAAGAACTTTTTCTCTTTCTGTACCTGGAATGCAGTTCAAAGTAAGGGCAACTTAGAATGCAGTTTAAGCCTTTTTTTAAAGTACTCTATACACAGCGAGACTAACTTTAATTGCGCTCATGTCCTCAATATTTACATCCAGCAGTGTTGTTTCTGCACACTTGTCATTGGTAAATCTCTATGTCTGTCAGGACTTGAGCATTGTGTAGTAGTCAACTCTTCAGCTGGATTTGGCCTCAATGCACAATGCATCTATGAATGTCCTTAAAGGATGGGAATAAAAGTCAATTTAGCTTTGTTCAATGAAGCTTTTGCAATGTCGGGTTCTTCTAAATAGCTACACCAAAAATTGGAGAGCAGTTCCTATTTTCCTCATTAGCCACTTCATGAAGGTTTCACATAATTTTATTTTATAGAAACTCAGAGAAGGCACAATCTAACAAAAGTTCATGCCAGAGTTTTCTTGCAGCTCCTGGCTGTGACACAAGTGGGACGGGGCTTGTCTACGATAGGATGAAGTAGCAGAATTTGAAGGATCCATCCATCAACTGGATAAACAATTATGCCGCACACTCCAAAGCTGTCTGCAAAAAGAATGCTCAGACAGGAGCTCAAGAAAGCAAAAGAATCGGGATTCCAAATGCAAGTCCATTTCATGACAAGTCGGTTCAGAAACACAGGAGCTACTCAGCCAGGTTGACGATAGAGTTTGAAGGGCTATGAAGAGATTAAGAATTTTAAACAGAAAGGTAAGTTCTGCTTGCTGTACCCAAGCATTTAGACGAATTGGGCAGAAGGAAGCAAGAAATTTTTTCGCTTATCGTGGTTTTTCTGCTTGAAAAGACGGTTGAACGGAACCCTAGCCCCTTTTGTCTAGCAAGCACAATCTGTGTGAATTCTTTCTTAAATTGTAAGATACTCAATGGGAAATGGGAACGACTTTCGAAGCGACGTTTTAAAGCAGATGACGGCAGCAGCTTGCGCTGGAATGCTGGCAGACAGTCTGGTTTACCCGTTGATGACTGTTAAATCTCGACTGATGGTGATCCCTTTGGCACAATCTCCTTCTTTTGCTATTTCCTCCTGACAACAACCCTTTCAGGTTGGGGGATCATACAAATACAATGGCCCATTTGACGCGTTGACTACTATTGCCAGACAAGAGGGATGGAGAACTCTTTACAAAGGATATGCTTCTGTTGTACAAGTTGCTCCATCACAGGCTTTGTACATGTCCACGTACCAAACTATCAAGGCAATCGTGCCAGGTCTCTTTTCTTTGTCCTCTCTAGTGCGACATCTAAGCCGTGCTCCGCAGGGGGTCAAGAAAATCCTGTTGTGCACTTTTGTGGAGGCCTCTTTGCCACACTGGTGCAATCGCTAGTAAGCGTCCCCCTTGAGGTTGTTCGGCAGCGACAAATGGTTCATACGGCTGGACAGCCAGCTTACAAGGTTCGAATGTGCTGCATCGGTTGTCGAACTTTTGGTTGTGTCAGGGTTCTTTAGATGCAGCGCGGACGATATATGCACAGGAGGGATTAGGAGCATTGTACAGGGGTTTCCTGCTGGCCCAGATGGTATGGGGTCCTTACAACGCCATCTATTTACCACTATGGGAGAGAACAAAGATGCTTGCGGTCCGATACACGGGAGTGGAGTCGAAGGAGCAACTCGGCATGCACTGGGAGCTCTCCAGCTCCTTTCTTAGTGCGTCCGTTGCTAGTGCATGCACAAATCCAATGGTTGGCAGCTCTCCTTCCAATTCATTCTCCTCAAGGTTTGGAATTTCCCACAGGATGTGGTAAAGACTAGGTTACAAGTGCAAGGCAAAAGCAAGCAGTACAAGGGCACGCTGGATGCGGCTCAAAAGATCTGGAAGAAAGAAGGAATCAAAGGTTTTACAAGTGGCATGAGCTCAAGGATACTGTGGGTGGGAACCTCGTGTATGGTCATGTTCACAGCGTACGATCAGTTTATGAAGAGACTGTGATTATATCTCGAGGGCCAAGCGTAATTGTACCAACATTGTGTCGAACTTGGACCAGAGCATCGGTAGGTCGTCCTGGAAAGAAAGCAGGACTTCGGTCAGTATCCCTGCTTTCTTACGAGCTTCTTCCCAATCCGTGTCAAGGTCTACTTTAATGGCGACCTTCCACTTGTTTGCTTGAAGGTCCTGGTGTCTCTTGACCATGCGGTGGTGTATAGCAGTGGCCAAGACCTTAAAGGACTTGACGGGCCGGGCAGCGACCAGCCTCGACCTGGACACAGAAATCCACGTATAACAAGCACGCGACTATAAAGGAGCAAACCTGAGCGCCTCCTGCTCCTGCTGGATTGCTGTTATGGCGTTGTCAATCTCCACATGCTTGTCAGCGTGTGTTTGGAGCTGAGACTGAAGCCGAACCATCTTCTCGTCCACAGCTGACGCATCGGCGTTAACCTCCCGTATGTTTCTCTTCAATTCCATGCACGCTTTGGTGAGAAGCGCCTCTGGAGCGTCGGGCTCGTGTGCGGTTTCCTTCCTGCTGTTGCTGGCCTGCACGACATGCATGCAAGCGCGCGTGTGTGTGTAGCCATGGATTCGAGTTGCAAGACACCTGCACTTTGATGCCGATTGACTTGCGGTTGAGAACCCGCGTTTGAACTTCGGCTACTAGCTTCTCCTTCTGAATGTTGAGGGCATTAAGCTCCCACTTCAAGCGCTCGTACTCTTTCTTCATGGCTCCAAGGATAGCAGATGGCGACATCATGGCCTGGAGAAGGGCTGCCTGCGAGGAGCAACCAAGACTTTATATGTATTCTGCCCGGCACGAGCCTACCTGGGTTTCTTTCTCAAAGTTGATCTTTCTCTTCCATAGTATGACATGGTTTTGAAGCTCTGTGACCTCACGACTAACGTCCGATTTCTCCAAGTTGCAATCTTCCCTCAGGTACTCAATCCTCAGTGCCTCTTGCTGCAGCTCCTGGATGGCTAAATCGTTGCTGTTTTTGAGCAGGAGGTTCTCCTTGGTCAACATTTCCTTCATGCTGGCGTTTTTCGCTAAGAGCTCGTTGAGCCTGAGGAAAACAAGTGGAGTAGAATAATATGAGGTCCTTGAGAGTGGCGACGACATACTTGGTGACAATGCCGTGCTTCATCTGGACATTCTTGTCGACATCCTTGATGTACTTTGTGAGAGTTCCTAGGTCCTTTTCCAGCCTTAACTTGCGTTGCTCCAGGGTAATGCGATCCTTGTCCAGCTTCCGGCCTTTCTGCGCCAGGGCATGGTTCTCGGTGGTGATGCTGACAAGCTCCGTTTGGATCCCCAGCCACTGCTTTTGCAGTTCGGACGAGGCCCGTATCTTGACGGCAATCTCGTAGCGGATATTTGCAACAATGTTTTCAAAGGGGGTTGCGCTCTTGTCCACCAAGTTGGCAGTGAGTTTGTCGTACTGCTTGTTAAGCTTGTCAATCTCTTTGGTCTTGACATCGATCTCGCTGTGCCGCTGCCGGGTTTCGGCTTGCATCTTGGAGATGAGCGACATCTTTTGCTGCACCTCGTCGTCTAGCGAGGCCAGCGCATCGCTAATGGTTTGGTTATAGCTTTGCACGGTCAACGTGTCCACCCGGATCCGTGCGAGCTCGTACTCGATCTCCGTCGCCATCATGTGCTCGTGCCTGATCTCCTGCCGGAGCTGCAGCGTTCCTTGGACGACTTGTTGGGCCGACCTCTCGAGCGTGATTTGCTCGCTGAGCCCCACCAGCATCTTCGTCTCGAGGTCATTGATTGTCTGGCACTGCTTGAGGTAAGCCTTTTCAATCACCTGCCCAAGCCATGCATGCATCAGCAATGCTCACAAGACACCTATTGTTACCTTGTAGTCTTGCTCGAGGACATCCCTTTCCTCCTTCACCTTGACCTCGCTCCTCTCCGTCTCTTCCATTGTCAGCATCATGGCTGCGTACTTTTGCAGCACGGTGTTGCGCTTAGCAGCGACTTTGGTGATCCGCTTGTTGAGATGCTTGATCTGCGAGCCATACTTCTTGAGCAGCGCCAGCTTGGTATCGCCCTTGTCACGCTCCAGCCTTATGTCCTTGCGGTACCGGTGTTTCTCTCCCTGTATGGACAGGTCTTGCTCTCTTTGCTTGCTTGCAGCATCCACCAAGGCCTGGCTAGACCAAGCAGCTAAAGCAGGCTGAATGAAGCCAGGAGCAGCAGAGCATATTTCAACATGTTACCTGCAGGGCCTCGTCGCAGCGTCCCAACACAATCAGTGCCGACTTCCACTGGTCGGTCAGCTGTTTCTTCTCTGTATTGATACTCTCCATTTCAATTCCAAATTCCGACAGTGCCGCCACAGCCATCTTGGTCTCCCGCTGTTGAGCTGTACACACTCAAGCCACACACACACACACACACACGCACACACACACAAAAACATGTAGCGCAGGTCGGCTTTAGTGTTGACATACCTTCGAACTGGGCCCTGCACAGGGCCTGCCTCTGGTAGTAGCGCCTCAACCGCTCCTGCTGGACGGCAATGTAAAAGTCTTGGTCCTTTTTGCCTTTCTCGGCTTTGGAGATGATCTCCTCCATGGCGTATGTGGCCCGCCGGCTGACGGCGATGTCGCTCTTGAGCTTGTCGTTGTAGCTGTCCACCTGCTTGAGCGTCGAGGCCAGGTTGTCCAGGTCGATGTGGCACGCCTCGAGCTTGTCTTGCATGGCGTTCATCTCGCTCCATCTGTCCTTGTATGAGACTTGAGCATCCAGCAGTTGTGCCTTGGCCTGGACAAGGATGATTCAAAGGGCGGTGCAAACTTTGATTAGCTTAGAACCTTTTCCTGCTCTTCCACCCGGGCAGCAAGCACGTCCTCGGTCTTGGTCACAGCAATGTGGATGCTGGCCAGAGTCTTCTGCAAGCCATAGAGCTGCACGCCCACTTCCTCTCTTCGCCTGGTGGCGCTGGCGAGGAGCACCTGTTTCTCCCGGACCCTGTCGCGCAGATCCTCCTTCTTACGGGACAGCTCCGCCCTGAGGGCCTCCTGAGCCCCGACCAGCGATGGATGCTCATTCAGCTTCACCACAAGCTTGTCTTGCTCCTCCTCACTGCCCGCCGCCATCTCTTTTGCGGGCGGCAGGGGTGTGCGCAGCCGGCAAAAAGCGCGGGAGGATGATATGTATCCCCTCCTCCGTGCAAACAACAGACAAGCCCTAAAACCACGTGGCACCACCCGTTTGGAGAGCAAGCAAACTGCCCACCATGTTCGCAATGCAAGAGGAGGACTTCGAGAGTGCGTACCTGGGCGTCTCGCCCGTGCGACTAACTCTTGTAAGCTTTCTAGGGGAGGTGAAGGTGGTGGTTGTGGGCAACGGCGGCGTGGGAAAAACGAGCTTGATCCGCCAGTTTTGTAGGGGGCACTGCCCCATCGAGTACAAGAAGACCATCGGCGTCGACTTCCTGGAGAAGAGCCAGTAACCATCGACTAGGAGTCGTCTTGTGTATGTGCTAACGCACGCAACTTAGGTTCGTCAAGGCCTTGCAAGAACAAGTGAAGCTCATGCTGTGGGACACGGCGGGGCAAGAGGTATTCGATTCCATGACTCGCGCATACTACCGAGGTCAAGTGAGGTTATAGTTTGCCCCCTTTTGTTGGCGGCCTACAAACTTCCTCATGCAGGCGCCAGAGCTGCCGTCCTTTGCTTCTCCACGGACGACAGGCAATCCTTTGAATGCGTTAAGACATGGAAGAAGAAGGTACACAAGCACGGAGGTATTTACGGGCCTACACTCAGTTTCATGCACCAGGTGGAGAGAGAATGTGGAAAGATTCCCATGGCACTGGTGCAGAACAAGGTTGATCTCTTGGACCAGACCGTCGTGAGCAGGTGTTGCTTCCTTCCATATTCCATATGAGCTATACAAATACCTTCTCACACTCCCGGTTGAGAATGCAGGCAAGAAGCTGAAGCCTTGGCCGAGCAGCTGGGACTCCGCTTCTACCGGATTTGTGTCAAGCAAAACCTCTACGTGGCGGATGGTATGCCATTCCTTCCTTTTACTGATCAAGAACCCTGGGATTGCATGTCGCAGTGTTTGAGTACCTTGCAGAGATGATACTGCAACGGCACGACGATGCCCCATTGCCATCGACCACACCAGCAGGTATACGTGTGTGTTGGGACTCTCCGTTATGGTAGGTAACAACTTCTGCAGCAGGTGTTCTGCTGAGCGGCCACAATGCGCAGCGGCAGCAGCCGAAAGATTTCTACAAGCATGTACACCAAAGGTTTCCCGAATCTCGCATAATCCGTAGCAGCAACAAGGTGATGAGGGACTGCACCATTCTCTGACGTGACGGGGTGACTGACATGAATGAAATGAATGAATGAATGAATGAATGAATGAACGAACGAATCCAGAACGGTTATACCATCTAGGAACGTCGTCTGTATGTATACTAGGCTGCGTGTGTACAGGCAGGGTCGGTCCTCGCGTCGTTGTCGTCCTAACAAAATTTGGATTGTGTTGGTGTACGCGTCTGTGAGCACTATGGTGTGGTGGCGGTGGTGGTGTCCCGGATGGGAGAGAAAAGGTGGTGGCGCCCCTTGTTCTTCTTCATGTGCCGGATCCGCGCCTCCACCCGCGCACTGACCCCAATGGAGGTCCTCTCCACGGCCTTGGACCGCTCCCGCAGCCACATGCCTGGATCGGTAAAGTCCCGCTGCAGGTGGCGTATCTCCTGGATGATGTGGTGATCCATGGGCTTGAAGGTGCGCTGGAAGGCGGTGAAGAGGAAGTAAGGGAGGACGCAGGCGAGGGGTATCAATGCGGTTGTCAGCCAGTAGACTGGGGCTGGGCCAAGGCCGTCGCGCAGCACCATGTAGGCGGTGGTGGAGAGGCGCGGATCCACAGCGCCGTAGAGCAGCAAGAAGATGTACCAGAGGCCGATGCTCCCCCAGATGACGAGGTGCTGGATCCAGGTGAAGTAGCTGATGGCCAGCGCCACCTGCGCGTTGACTGTCCACACCACACACGTGTACATGCTGGCCCCCAGAATGGCCAGCTCCGCCACCTCCCCACCCCGCCGGAACGCCGCCACCCGGTACAGGCCTGCCGCAAAGACGAAGGTGACAAGCGAGCTGTAGACGCCGTTGGCCATCCAGCCCAGGATCCGGGACCAGCTGAAGAACAAGTTCCTGGGGCCCTGCTGGTAAAGCGTCGGAAACTGCACAGCACAGAACACCACCAAGCCACCATCAATCCCTGTCCTTCGTTACACTCGCTCGCTCGCTCACTCACTCACCATCAGGCACACTCTGGCCGATACGTCTTGCTCAAAAACCCCCAGCGCAATCACCGGGAGCGACGTAAAAAACACATTGAACAGGGACATATACCAATCGTTGTATGCAGTCTGACCCGAGAAGCTGGTGTACGCCTCGTAGTAAAACAGGGTGAGGCCAAACGTGATGTTCTTGTAGAAAAAGTAGCAAATCTGTAGGGATGCATTGGTCAATGAGTGAGGCGGGAGCCAGGCTTACCATCTGCGCGATACGCTTGTAACACCAATGCCCGTGGACAATGAGCAAGCGCTCCAGGAACCTGAACTGTGCGATAGAGAAGTCGCTGGCCATGACTGCCTGCAAACACCCACTGCGGTTAAGGAGCATCCAGAAATCCAGGATCACCCTACCTGCATGCCTTCGAGACCACTGATGCCAACACCTATATCAGCCTCTTGGATCATTCCCACGTCGTTGGCTCCATCACCAATGCTCAGAGTTGTCCGTCCCGTGCCCTCCTTCACAAGTCCCGTCACCTGTTTTGCCACGCGCATGAAATCAAGGATGAGAATCCAGCACAAGGGTGGGAGCGAGCGCGTCAGCACTGTACCAGCGCCTTCTGCTTGGGAGAAACCCGGCAACATATAACAGAGGCACAGTTGATTGCCAGGCGTAGCAGCTTGTCTTTAAGGCCATCTTCCAATGCATAGGCAAGTGCTTTACCATCAATGATCAGCGCAAACGCAGCGTCGTCGTCAGTCTCCAGATCAATCTGGCGCTGGGCATTCGCAAGCTGCTGGCTGATGCTCTCTTTGGATGCCTACAGCAGCAGTGGTTAGTGCAAAGTGGAAGTGAATCATCTGTTTTTCTTCACCTTGGCACTGGCCTCTTTGTTGCCAAATTGTTCAGTGGAGCCACTGTCCAACGTCACAAGAATCTGCTTCATCCCTTGCCGCAACAGGCTGCATGCGAAGCTGCGGGCATGCAAGAGAGTATGGTTAAAAGAGGAGTTGGGGGCGACCAACGTACCCAATGTTGATGGCAGTCTCTAGCTTGTCGCCAGTAAGCACCCATATCTTCAAGCCAGCTTGGGCTAGCCGATCTATGCATTCAGGAACCTGGACGGATAAGCGGTGCGTGAGAAGAGGAGTGGCGCCCCCAACCAAGCTTACCCCTTTCTGCAGCTTGTCCTCCACGGCAGTGGCACCCACAAGGACCAGGTCCCTCTCTATCATGTCGCATGCAGCATCTAAGAGCTCCTCTCGGCTTTCTCCAATGGTGGTTTTGGCCTTGAGGAAGACCGCGTTCCATTCCCTGTACTCTGCGTCGTCGAGCTTGCGGTACGCAAGGATCAAGGTGCGCAGGCCGGCCTCGGCATACTCGGAGAGATGGCTTCTTGTCGCAGCTTCGAACTGACGTCCGTTCTTGCTGAGCTTGTCGAACATGACGCTGCAATGGGAGAGGGAGGGTGGTGACTACAGAGAGAGAGAGAGGCTACACTCAAAACAGTACCTGTCTGCACCTTTGGAGAAGAGGAAGGTGTTACCTGCATCGTCCGTTACAATGACGGACATCCGCTTGCGGGTGCTGTTGAATTCCAGCAGGTTGAGCAGCTTGTATTCGCTGAAATGCAGCGCACGTAAGAAAGAAAGCGAGTCACGTCTCTTACCGGAGGGTGGTGGTACCATTGGTATCGCTGGGCTCCCGCACGAGCACGGTCGACTGCGTGCGCTTGTAAAACTGGAAGCCAAACTCCCTTGCAGCAACAACAAACGCCAGCTCGTCCGGCGATTCCGCCTGGTAGCTCACGTCGCCCGTTTCCTGGCTCTCCTCGGGGATGACAGTGTGGCAGACTGCCAGGATTCGGAAGAAGGTTCGAATGACGGAAGAGTGCGGCTGGTGCAGCCAGTTGCCATCCATGACCCGCTCATCGGTGAAGTTGAAGCCTTTGACGAAGGGTGCAGCATGGGCCATCTCGAAGTTCCCGGGGCTGGTGCCGTGGCTGCTGCTGCTGCGGTGGTCGTGCTCCTCCGACCCTGCATCCTGCTCGTGCAGCTGCTGCTCCCTGCCGAGCCTCTTGGCGGTGGCCCTCTCCACTTCGGTGATCCCCCGGCCGTAGGAGACGCCGGCGATGGAGCACTTTCGAAACTCCATGACGTTGCAGGTGAGCGTGCCCGTCTTGTCCGAGAGGATGGTGTCCACCTGGCCCAGCTCCTCGTTGAGGTTGGAGGTGCGAGCGTGGGCGGGGGTGTCGGTCACGTCGTCATACATGGCAATATCGTGGTTGATGAACATTGCCTGCAGCACCTTGACAACCTCAATGGACACGTAAAGGGAGATTGGGATGAGATAGCCATACAGGATGAGCGCCGTGATGAGGTGCAGCAGCGCCGCCAGCTGCGGGCGCTGCGGGTTGAAGTAGACGTCGGCGTCGGAGGGGCGGAGGTACCACCAGCGGGGCATGTCGGCCTGCGTCATGACCCCGAAGACGATGGAGCCGAGCAGCGAGATGAGCAGCAGGACGCTGAAGAGGAAGTAGATGATCTTGTCCATCTTGCGCTCGATGCGGCTGCGCTTGGAGGGCGCCTCCCGGGCGTTCTGCAT